AGCTGGGCGTGGTAGCGCACGTCTGTAGTTACAGCTACTTGGAGGACTGAGGCGGAAGGATCACCGGAGCCCAGCAGGTTGATGCTGGGGTGGCCATGAGTGTGTGCACCACTGCACTCCAGCCTGGGCAAAGGAGTGAGACCCCAACTCAAAAAAATAAAAATAAATAAATAAATAAAAGTTGTCTTTGAGAGTAAGGCTTATTCCTGTTTCACTTCGAAGTTTTAATACACAGTTATACTCATAAAGTAATTAAAAAGGGGGAGTAAGTTTGTGTGCCACAACACACAGGAGAAAGTAGTACATATTTGTTGATGGTAGCCAGGGCATGGTGTGTATATATATATGCATACATATATTTTTTAATTAGCTGAGTGTTGGCATCTGTAGTCCCAGCTACTTGGGAGGTTGAGGTGGGAGGATCACCTGAGCCCAGGAGGTCAAGGCTGCGGTGTATTATGATCGTGCTACTGCCCTTCCAAGTCTGGGCAATAGAACAAGACCCAGTCTCAAATACATAAATAAATAAAAATAAATATTCCATGCCAGACTGCCTGGAAGTTGGAATCACAAGATGGAGCCGTCATGGAGGCCAACATGCAGCATAATAAAATTCAAAGCTCAGTTTTCAAAGTTGAAAAGGGAAAGTGTGAGGTGACGATCAATGTCTCACTCCATTATGAATCCTCATCGACCCCACATGCAACTAAATTTTTCTGAAATCTTTATTTATTTAATTTTGTCAGAGTCTCACTCTGTTCCCCAGGCTGGCATGCAGTGGTCCAGTCACTGTCCGCTGTCGTCTTGAATTCCTGACTGACTGGGACTACTGGTGTGCACCACCATGCTTGGCCAATTTTTTTTATTTTTTGTAGTGATGAGGTCTCGTTATGTTGCTCAGCCTGGTCTCGAACTCCTGGGCTCAGGCGATCCTCCTGCCTCAGCCTCCCAAAGTGCACAGATTATAGGCCTGAGCCACTGCGCCCAGCCTTAAACATTTACTTTTGACCTTTTTCTACTTACGACTACACTGAGGTCATTTCACAAATGTAGACTGCTTTTTTTGCTTGTTTGCTTTAAGGCAGGTGATATGAACTCAAATATCCTTAAGGGCCAAGCAAGTAATGAAAGTGAGGCAAGCGGGCGGAGTGGGGAGTATGGCAGGCAGCAAGCACCTTCTCGTGTCGAGGGAACTGGGCGTTGTCCTGCAGGAATGCAGGCCTCGTGTGAGCAGTCTGCACATCTTTTCAGAAGCTGAATACTGACATTTTTATGAACATTTCCCACTTTTTGAATGGTAGCAACTAACTTTTAAAAACCAAGCACTATACAGCAAACAAAATGTGTCACAGGGAGACAGGGCTGTGGGCTGTCTTCATGGACGCTGTCCTCTGAGAGGCCTCTGACGGCTTCAGGTGGTGCCAACTATTTAGGGCCCCCGACAGCTTCAGGGGGTATCTACTACTCAGAGCAGTCTCAAATGGTGCGAATGGCTCATGTCCTGTCTGGCCGCACCATCTATGTTTCTGTAGACGCGGGTGAAATTCTCCTCCAGCTCTGGCGTTTTCCCTGGGCAGCCATGATGACGCTTCCTTGGACTCTTTCTGTGAGCAGTGAACTGTGTGTACATCTGTGAGTTTTGGACTGTATGAGTGTGTGCTCGTCTGTGAGCTGTGGACTGTGTGATTTGTGTACGTTTTGAGGTGTGGACTGTGTGAGTGGGTACACGTCTCTGAGCTGTGGACTGTGTAAGTGCATGTAAATCTATAAGTTTTGGACTGTGTGAGTGTGTGTGCCCATCTGTGAGCTGTGGACCGTGTGAGCTGTGTATGCTTTGAGCTGTGGACTGTGTGAGTGTGCATGTTTGCACAGAGCTAGGGTCTCATGCACGTGTTTCTTCACTTGTGTATCTGGGTTTGATCCCCACGTGTCAGTTTTCTGTCCTTGCTCCCATCGGTGGAAGACGGGGCAGTGTCCTTTGGTAGAGAAGAGGGCTGCCCAGGTACCCCAAAGCAGCCATGACCGCTGGGCTGTTCCCCAAATGACGTGTTATGTTCCTGTTCTCATGTAGACAGAGGGGGTGACTCACTCCTCTGTGTTCTCTCCACGCCTGGCCACACATCTGGGCTGAAGGTGCTCGCCACACAGATGTGTCCTGAGCTGAGCTGAGTTGCAGGAACACGCCTGTTCCCTGGGCCCCAGCAGCTCGGGTCCGTCTGACCTCGGCTTCCCCTGGCCCCCACCTCCCAGGAGAGCCAGCTGGTAACCGAAGTGTTCTATCCTCCAGGGCACTGTGGTGTAGACGGAAACACCGTTTCTTCCGCCTATTCCAATGGAATCTACTGACTGTCAGAAACCTAATTTAAATCTCACTCCCTTTGGGAGCCCCTCTCCTCGCCAGTCAATTCTGTTCTGTAGCCAGCGCATCAGAAACCAACGGTCACGCTGACAAACACCAGGGTGATCCACTTCATCTGCTTCTTCGGCTAGTTAGTTTAAACTTGCATTTAAAGTTTCATTTTGTAGTTCGTAGGTTTTTAACGTCTTAATTTAATTTTTCCTTATTTTAGAGACAAGGTCTTACTCTGTCGCCCGAGCTGGAGTACAGTGGTGTGATCACAGCTCACTGTGGCCTCCCTCCTGCTGGGAATTGTCTCAAGAAATCCGGCCTCAGCCTCCTGAGTGCTCCAACTCATTTTTAAAAGTTAGCTTCACAAAGCACTGCCTGCCTCTGTCAGTTGATGAGGACACTGTGCTTCTCCACATCATGGCATTGAGGGTCACAAACTCAAAGGCCTGCAGAGGCCAGACAGGTAACACGAAGTGTCCCCAGCAGGAGAGCAGGGAGTTGAATGACTCTGGCCAGTAGAATTCAAACCCCAGCTCTTCATGACGCAGTGCAGGGCCAGCGCGGCCAGGCTTTTTTTTCTTTTTAAAGTCAAAACATTGGGAGCCAAATAAAACAGGTCTGTGAGCTGCCAGTTTTGACCTCGTGTCCAGTACACTCATTTTCCTCGAGTTTAGAAAATGTTTTCCAAATAAAACAGCAGGAGGATGTGTATAAAAAAATCTGAAGTCACTAGAAACACAAACTGTGGCTCCAACAGTCTGCAGAACACCACCCTCGGCTCTGAAACACTCCCTCGAGGACAGCACTGACTTTCCTTAAGCAAGGCTCATTTGCGGGACCTGGTGCGGACATCTCACGGGCTGCACCTCAACTACTCAACCCAATAAGGGCTGATTCAGTTCCTACAGGAATAATGAAAGGCAGGAAGCCACATGGGTTTTGACCGGTCTGGAAACACATCGTCCTTCTTCACAGAAGCAAATACCCATAGCTCAACACATACCCGGGGGATTCAGGTAACATGGCATGAAAGTGGGTTTTGATCTCTCACTGTATCACTGTGAGTTATATTTCTCTCTCTGGCCCACATTCCCTCCTGTTGGGAAGTGTCTCAAGAAACTCATCGCTTTCGTAGGGGCTGTTGACCACAGAACAGGCCGGCCCATGAAAGACCCTCACTTCCTGGAGTTAATGGCCAGATTGAAGTACACCTGGCTTTGGCCTGATCAGGGCTCAGTCAGTCCTATTTCTGAGAAAGGACGCTGGGATGGGGAGAGCCGGCAGGCTATGCGGGGGACCCGGACCACAGAACTCTCGTCTGTCCCCCCAACCCTCCCGACACACATGAGGAAATGACTTCAAAGTGTTGAAAAAGGAGAGAGAAATTCCTGATAATATCATCTGAACACAAATGCAGTAACGCCTGAGGCGTCTGCAAATATTGAGCAGTAAGTTAACTTTTTAACTTGAGTCAGTTTGATTTGAGTTCCTGTAAATTACAAGGGAGAGCCCTGACTAATGCAAGAAACCTCTGTGGTTCACATTTGCATTTTAGGATTCAAATAAGTTAATTTCAGAAACAGTCAACTGAATTATACAATTGCTTCCTGGTTCGACATATATTCCTAATTCACATTTGGTATTCTAGCCATTGAAAGACATGAATGCCAGCAAACAAACGGTTTTTTATTCTTATTCAAGAACCATTTCAAAATATGATTTTGCACTAATTATATCTACAATGCTATGCCGAATACCAAAAATATGGAGACTGTAGGAAAGCATAAGGAAAAGGTAAACAAGTTAATTTCGAAAGTTAGGATTAAATGAATATGTCAGTCAAGAGGTCCATGGTATGACAAGGGACCCCCCAAAAACCCAGAATGATCTTTTGGAGGGCAGGCCCCTTACAGTACACTCAGAATTTGTTCCTCCAGGCTGAAACGGTCAACCATAGTTTTTAATCTGGAAATTTTGAGCAAGTTGCATCCCAGTTTTCTGCCCATACCGCACTGAGTGTTCAGCAGTTTTGGACTCAAAACAGCAAGACCACCCCCATGCCCCACCATCCCTATTCACCTGATCTCACCTGGAACGGCTTTTTTTTTGTTTTGTTCCCCTGGATGAAAAAACTCCTCCAAGGGAAAGGTTTTGCTGATGTGAAAGAGGTGAAACACAAAAACGGCAGAATCACTAAAAGGCATCCAAATGGATGAGTTCAAAAACTGTTTTGAGCAGTGGTGGGAAAAGCATCTCAGTAGGTGTAGTGCATCAAACAGAGAGTGCTTTGAAGGTGACTGAAGTTTAGATACGTAGGAATACATACACACTTTTTAGTAAACAAATTCCAGTTTTTTGGGGCCCCCTTCGTATATTTTCAGACCTGATAATCTGTGGGAACTACTTTCAGTATGAATACACAATTTAAGCAAAAAAGGGGTGTTTGCATGTGCTTGAGGGGGTGCAGGAGTTGAAGGTCGAACACAGGCTCTTTGCATTTCTCCTTTGGGGGGGGATGGCAGGAGCCCTGCAGCCAAGAATGCACGAGGAAAGAAGAGGCTGCGTTTGGCGTAGAAGCACGCCATGGTCGTGGGGGCACACCCCTGGGGGACGCCTGAATCCCGACCTGGGGGGCGGAAAGCATGCTCACCTCCTCATTCTCGATCTTGAGCGTGGCGAGACGGGACTGCAGTTGCTGATACCTGAGCATAAGCTCCGCCTGGACCGGCTGCTGGGCGCTGACCTGGCACACCTGGTGGGGGACCAGAAGCCACAGTTACGACAGGGCACCTCGGCCGGCCTCCAGGGGCGCAGCTCTGCACGTTGGGGTCTCGCTATGTTGCCCAGGCTGGAGTGCAGCGGCACATTCATGGCTCACTGCAGCTTCGACCTCCTGAGCTCAGGCGATCCCCTCCTGCCTCCGCCTCCCAAGTCGCTGAGACTACAGGCCATGCCACTGTACCCAGCTGGTTTTTAAGATTCGTTTTGTAGTGATGAGGTCTCACTGTGTTGCCCCTAAACTTCACTTTTAAAGACACTGCAGAGCCGGGCATGGTGGTTCACGCCTAGAACCCCAGCACTTTGGGAGGCCGAGGTGAAAGGATTGCCTGAGCCCACGGGTTCAAGACCAGCCCGGGCAACTTGCTAAGACCTCATCTTTACAATAAGTCACAAAATTAGCTGGGCGTGGTAGCATGTGCCTGTATTTCTGGCTACTTGGAAGACTGAGGTGGAAGAATAGCCGGAGCCCAGCAGGTCAACGCTGGGATGGTGGTGAGTATGCCACTGCATTCTAGCCTGGGCGACGGAGTAAGACTCCAATTCAGAAATAAATAAATAAATAAAGACACAACAGAATGCAGTGGGCTGGCTGGGACTTGGGAAACGTCGGCTGCAGGAAGACAGGCTCTAAGAAAGTGCCGTTCCTGCGCGGAGCCTTCGAGGCTGAAGGCTTGCTCGTGGCATTCTCAATGCCCACAGTGCAGAGGAGAAGGACAGAGGACAGCTCAGGCAGTCATACAGGCCTCAGCAGAGAAGGCAGCCGGGTCTCCTGGGTGGTGTGTGGGCCTGGATCCACTCGGTTGTACCTGAATCCCAGCTTGGCCACCCACTAGCCGGGTGACCGCGGTACGTTACGAAACCTCAGCCTTCTCATCTGTAAAATGGGGATGATAAGAGTTCTTGACTACCACAGGGCAGTTGTGGGAAAGACGTGAGACTGTGTGCACAGGGAACTTAGAACAGTGCCTGGCACAAAGTCCTAAGAACACGGGAATGATTGTTCATCTTTTAACTGCAGCTTACCGTGAACTCAAGAGATCACTTGTCTTAGGCCTTAGTAGAAGATATTAGGCCATGATCTCAATTACGGACAAGGTCAAAGATAGAGCACTGTTAAAATTGCACCAGAAATAATTTCTCCTCCTCTTCCTCGTCCCAGACATGCTCTTGGTTGATGAGAGTTCTTCCGAGGGAGTTTCCAAATCATCAGAGATCCCTGTCCCCAGCAGAGCTGGCCATGAGGAGTGGCAGCAAGTTCACTTGTTAAATAATAGTGATAGGAGTAATAGTAGCCTGCCATCCAGCACTCTGGGAGGTCAAGGCGAGAGGATTGCCTGAGCCCAGAGGTTCGAGACCAGCCTGGGCAACTTGGCGAGACCTCATCTCTACAAGATATCAAAAATTAGCTGGGCATAATGGCACACACCTGTGGTTCCAGCTACCTGGAAGGCTGAGGCGGAAGGATTGCCTGAGCCCAGCAGGTTGAAGCTGCAGTTACCATGAGTGTGCCCCTGCACTCCAGCCTGGGTGACAGAGGGAAACCCAGACTCAAAAATTTAACAAAAAGGAGTAATAGTAACACCACTCACATCCAACTTAAGTCACTCGTCGGTGACATTTCTACGTTTAACACACCCACCACTGAAAAACTAAAACAGCTACCTCGTTTGACTTTGGAAAGACCGGATAAATGACTTATTCAGCTTGTCAAAATTCATGCGCTATTTACATAAAAACTGCCTACCATTTAATTCACTCTATCAAACACAAATGAAATCCAATCGGAAATATAGCAGGGACAGATGCATATAACATTTATATAATCTTGTATGTCTTAATATTTGGTGATTCAGAAAAAATATGACATTAGGGGAATCTGCCATGGATGTTATTATTACAGTTATTTTAAACAACAGCCTGTTACCACAATAAGCTAAAACTGAGTTTTTCTCTCTGAGTTTTGTGGTGCCCAGCTGGGACACAGCATGCTCCATGAGCTGGTTTGCTTGTCTTCACCAGTCCATGACAATAATATAAACTATAACTCATAATCAAGTTAAATGAATATTTTTGGTGAAACAGGGTAGCAAGGCAATTTCATATAAAGGATGTAAGACATAATGATAATTTCAAATGCCCATGTTACCACTTTGGAGCCCACTTGAGTCTTTAAAAATATTTTGCACTTTTCTACCTTTCTTTCATTCTCCTGCTATTTACAATGACTTTTCCTCATGGGAATCTTTAAATCAGCATTACAGGGAGTCTTTGGACAGATTCTACTGGAACTGGCAAGATGTTTGGCTTTTAATTTAAATTTGAATGTCTTGAGTGGAAGAAGAACTCTCCAGCTATTCTGGGATGGCTGAGTGCTGACACCCAGGCATATCGGCACTTCTGTCCGTCTGGCCTCTGTAGGTATTTGTGTGTTTGACCCTTGCTTTGCTATTATGCAGAGATCCTTCGCAAAGGCGGGGGAGAGAGAAGAACCAGGAATGATGACCAAAGTAGGTGAGGAGAGAGACACGTGGAGAGATGATTCAGTCATTTAAAAACCATCAAGCACTGACCTCATCGCCCATGTGAGACTGAAACTCAAACTTCACTGGCGGGCAGAATGCAGCTGGGTACATCTCCATGAACCTCTGCTTATCATTCCTGGGCTCTAAATTGTCGACTGCGTTCTCAATAATGTCTAAGCCTTCATGTCTCGAGGTTTCAAGGTTATACTCCGCAGAGAGGTATGTCCTAAGGGCTCTGTTCAGACTTGCGTGGTAGCCAAGATCACAGCACTTGAGAAAGAAAAGAACAGCAGATACACAAATTAAGGCAACATTGGTCAAAGGCCGAAATGCTAGACCTGCAACTATGAAACTCTTCGAAGAAAACATAGGGGTAAACTCTCCATAACATTAGTTTCTTGGATATGACATCAAAAGCCCAAGCAACAAAAGAAATTAGATTATAAATTAGATTTCATCAAGAGGGAAGACTTTTGTGCTTTAAAAGACACTGTCAAGAAAGTGAAAAGACAATTCACAGAATGGGGAAGAAATTGTAAATCATCATATATAAAGAACTTTTACAATTCAATAATAAAAAGACAAGGCCCAATTAAAAAATGGTCAATGGCTCTGAATAGACATTTTTTCAAAGAAGATATACAGAAGGTCAACAAGCACATGAAGAGATGCTTGGCATCACTGGTCACCATGGAAACACAAATCAAAACCTCAATGAGGTACCACTTCACGCCCATGAGGATGACTGTAATCGATCACACAGACAAGAGCAAGTGTTGGAGAGCGTGTGGAGACGTTGAAATGTACGTGCACTGCCAGTGGGAATGTCAAAAGGAGCAACCACTTCAGAAAACAAGCTGACAGTTCCTCAGAAGGTTAAACATCGAGTCACCATATGACTCAGCAAATCCACTCCTAGGAACACACCCAAGAGAAATGACAACACATTTCTTTTTTTTTGAGTTGGAGTCTCACTCTGTCGCCCAGACTGGAGTGCAGTGGCCGCTCTCGGCCACCATAGCCGCGACCTGCTGGGCTCCAGCGATCCTTCCGCCTCAGCCTTCCAAGTAGCCAGAATTGCAGGCATGCGATACCAAAGCCCGGCTGATTTTTTGATTTATTGTAGAGATGAGGTCTCGCTGCCCAGATGGGTCTCGAACCTGCGAGCTCAGGCAATCCACTCACCTCAGCCTCCCAAAGGCACGGGATTACAGGCTGAGCCACCGAGCCCGGCTGACAACACATTTCTACACAAAAACTTGTTCACGAATGTTCATGGCGGGAACAAGCTGGGAATGGGAGGCTGAGGCGAAAGGGTCGCTTGAGTCCAGGAGTTCGAGACCAGCCTGGGCAACATAGTGAGACCCCGACTCCACAAAAATTAAAAAATGAGCCAGGTGGGGTAGCGTGTGCCCACCTATAGTCCTAGCTACTCAGGAGGCCGAGGCAGAAGAATCACTTAAGCCCAGAAGGCTGAGGCTGTGGTAGCCATGATCACACCACTGCATTTCAGCCTGGGTGACAGAGTGAGACCCTGACTCAAAATAATAATAATAATAGGTAAAAACAGTCGAAAAGTCCACAAACTAGCAAATAAACAAACTGTGCTATAGCTGCAATGAAATACCATTCAGCCATAAAGAGGAAGCACTGGCACATGCTACAACATGGATGAACTCTGCAAACATTACACTGAGTGCAAGAAGAAGTCACTAAAGACCCTACATGATTCCACTGATATCCAATGTCCAAACAGGCAAATCTCTGAAGACACCGAGGACACGGCAATTGCTGGACTGGGGGAGGGAGGAATCAGGGGCAAAGACTGAGGGCTGCAGGATTTCTTTTTGGACAATGAAATATTCTGAAATTGACAGTGATGATAGATACACAACTAGATGCTTGATGGGTGAACTCCATCGCGTGTGAGTTCTATCTCACTAGAGCTGTTAAAAAAGTAAAAGAAGCAAAGCCTGAACACTGAAAGAATGAAGAAAGGGTATTCAGGTTTTATTTGTACAATGTGGAGACTGACACAATAATCTACTAAAAGTCACATAGGTTGCAGAGTGTCTGTGATATTTTGGACTTGCATATTTTATTGAAGACTTGGGAACAATCTACTCTCTTAGATATGGGAAGTACAGGTCTGGATCTGCCAAGATGGTCTGGGATGCCTGCCTTCACGCTCCCAGGATATAGTCCTTAAATAAGAAATGATGGGCTGGGTGCCTGTAATCCCAAATGATGGCTCAAGCCTGTAATCCCAACACTTTGGGAGGCCGAGATGAGGGGATTGCCTGAGTTCATGGGTTCAAGAACAGTCCGGGTTACTTGATGAGACCTCGTCTCTACTATAAATCAAAAAATGAGCCAGGCATGCTAGCGTATGCCTGCCATTCTGGCTACTTGGAAGGTTGAGGCGGAAGGATCACCGGGTCCAGCAGGTCAATGCTGAGATGGCCGTGAGTGTGCACTTCAGCCTGGGCAATGGAGTGAGACTACAACTTGGAGGAAAAAAAAAAAAGAAATGATGGCCAACATTTGCATATGGAGCTAGAATTTTGTTGAGCATTCCTAGAAATACAAGAACTTTGAGATTCTTCACTTTAATCCATACTTGTATCTATTTTGTTACATTGCCCTTTAAGAGAATATGAGCAGAAGAAAGAATATAACTCTGGAAATTTGCTACCAATTACTGACAGCTTAATTTTACATTTGTACCTAAATGCGTATAAGTCACTTACAGAGGAAACACGTGACTTTAAAGGTCAAAAACCAGGTCCTTTTCAGTGAAGTTTAATCAATTCAATGGGACTCCATCCAACTCGCTAATTGGCCATCGATTGAATGCCAAGGAATTTGTTAGGTTCTAGGCATGTGAAGACTGGACCCTAGTAAACTATCTCCATTCTCAAGGAATTTGAACAGAAGCTGTTTGTTAGTTTGCTTCTCCAATAGTGGGGGGGGGGCACCCAGGAAGTCACCTTTGTCCAAGGATGGCACCAGGATGTGACCCGTCAGATCTGCCCCTAGGAAGGGACACATCGAATCACTGGCTTGTCCTGAGAAACGCCACCCTATTTCACTCCAGTCTTCAATTTCAGAATTTTAAAATTTGAGATTTTACATGTAAAGATATTCTAAAATCTTGCTATTCCAAGTTTGGACTATGAAACTAGCAGCAGTGGCATTACCAGAGGGACTCGTTAGACCCAAGGGATCTTGGGTCCCAGCCCTGACCTAGTATTTCAGAATCTGAAATTTAAAAGGATCCACAGGTGATTCACAGGCACATTACAAGTCTGAGAACCATAGCCCTAAAACAGTCATAAAAAAAAAGGCCCTGCAACTCTATCTTTTGGGGGTACTGTTTCCCCAGGCAGGTGAGTGGACTCGATGAAAGATGACCTGATCTGAAAAATCAGAAAGCAGCTGCGACATCACATTTACAAATACATGCAGAACACAGTTGTGAGACGCAGCCATCAGTCTCAACATTAGCACATTTCCAGGGGGAATCCACAGCGCTCAAATATAAAGACTGACTCATCTTGGTTAATTTAGAAATTCTAGTCTCAGACATGTGACCTTCTCGTTTATTCGTTCTGCTTTTCACAACCCATGATGGTTCTGTGTAACTGTTTAATACACATCAGAGTGACTGAAAAATTATTCTATCTTTCAGTAACGCCTCATTTTATGAAAACACAAATTTGTAGACATGACCTTATTTCTTGGAGATGTACCAGCATTTAAAAACATCCCCCAAGTCTGAAAAAACACGGATTCTACCTGATTATACTAAAGCAGTCGAGACAAGCTGCTTTATTTTATGAGTATTGATCCCAACGGGACTTAATAAAAATTTGAAATTAAGAGGAATGAAACTCAGAGAAAAGCCTCTCCCCCTATAAAAACCAAGTCTCTTGCAACTCAAAAGAGAAAGGAAGAAAGAAAAAGAAAGCAAAAAGAAAAGAATCAAAATTCAACTACTCCATTGACTTATAGCTCTGAAAAAGACATACTAAGTTTTCATTATTCCCCGACTTAAACAGTTCACTCTTCAAATTTTTAAGTGTGGCTTCTCCCAGGGATAAATGTGAAATCTACAAAGGCACCCTGCGTGTTTCCATAACCAGTGTAGATAGATTCTGCAGGTCTGGACCCAGTGCAAGACACAGTTTCATGTGACTTAGTAACAGAAATAGGGCCTTCCAGGGGTCTTCTTAGCTTAGAGTTGTACCCTTAGTACACTTCTGTGATGAGTTTTCTTTTTTTTTTGAGTTGGAATCTCACTTTGCCCCTCAGGCTGGAGTGCAGTCACATGATCAGAGCTCACCACAGCCTCAATCTTCTGGGCTCAGGTAATCCTCATGCTTCAGTCTCCAGAGTAACTGGAATGGCAGGTGCATGTCACCACGCCTGGCTAATTATTAAAAATTTTTGTTGTAGAAATGAGGTCTCGCTATGTTGCCCAGGTTGATCTTGAGTTTCTAGGTTCAAGCAATCCCCCCAAAGTGTTGGGATTATGGGTGTGAGCCACCAAGGTCGGCCTTGGATGAATTTTGTTGAGAAATTTCCTTCTCTGACCCCCATGGTGCTTGTCAGTCTGTAAGGTGGCTTAAATGGCATAATTTTGTGACTTCTGATATGCAGTATTTCTACTCTCTAAGTTTCTCAAGCATCTTGAACTTAGAAACAAGAAACAGGAAAAGAAGAGATCTTATTCAAGCTCTCCTGAGACAGCGAGGCTAGTCACAGAACTGTATTTTTTTTCTAAACTAGATGCTGAAATGACACTGGATATGCAAAGATTCAAGACACTTGGTTAAAAAGGTCTAAAATAATTCAGTGAAACTTATGAATTATTAGCGACAACACGAAAAGACAGCTTCTACACGAAGAGCTGTGATATAGTCCAACTGCATTTAATAATGAAAATACACACGAAAGCAATAAAATATTGCATGAAAACAAAGCAGTGTTATTCTGGTGAATGGAAAATTCTAAATGGACACAAAAGTATAGATTGAAACTGGGGAAGAAAAGACTGTTGGAAGCAGAAAGATTTAAAAAAAAACATCTAAAGACCTGCCAAAATAGATTCCAGTAGGTCTTAGTGGGATAATTTCCTTAGGCAAAGGGGTTGTAAATAGTGTCAAAATGCGGATGAAATCCAAGTGCAGACTCTCCTCAATTTTCAACACCTCGATAAAACCCATTGTTATATGGAAAATATCTTAAGTCGAAAATGCTTTTAATGCCCCCAATAAACCCACTGTCACATTGACAAGTTGTGGTGCCCAGATGTGCCTAAACTTACAAAGGGGTTACATCTCAATAAACCAACTGCAGAGTCAAAAAACTGCACGTCAGAACAATGCAAGCTGCGACCATCTGTACTGAGCTCTATGATAAACATTTCATCTCGTCACCAATGCCGGGGGTCGGTGGAAGGGATGCAGTGAGCATGTTAGGTGTGACTGGCTCACAGCTGCTGAGTAAGAAGTTTACGAATGGCTTCCTGGGCAGACACTTCATGACACGAGAAGCCCGGGGGGCGAAGTTTGCTCCTAACATGAGAGTCGCCACAGTGGAGATGCCTGGGAAACCAGCCTGACATTCATGCTTCTAGAACAGCTGCAGCCCATGCGACTTGCCAGGGCGTCCCCAGAGTGTGGGGAGGGCACCCAAGCTCCTGTGTGACTCTGGGATTCAGCAGCTGTCATGAAATGGAGAGGGAGGTCCTTCTCCGCAGAAGCATTCTATTTCAGCGTCTTCACTCTAGCCTCTGTTTGAGAGACTTCTGTGATCTTGTGTCCTGGGTCCTGTCTCTGACGTGGATTTCTTTTTTTTTTTGAGTTGGGGGTCTCCCTCCATCACCCAGGCTGGAGTGCAGTGGCATGATCACAGTTCACTCTAACTTCAACCTCCTGGGCTCAGGGGATCCCCCTGCCTCAGTCTCCCGAGCAGCTCGGACAACAGGCACTGGTTGATTTTTATTTTGCAGAGTTACGTTTTGCTATGTTGTCCAGGCTGGTCTTGAACTCCTAGGTTCAACAGATCCTCTCGCCTCAGCCTCCCAAAGTGCTAGGATTAAAGGCATGAACCACCAAGCCCAGATTTCTTATCTCTGAGTTTTAATAAACTTGGCTTTTTTTGATATTTGCTAAGTGCAGTTTTACTGAGAACGGTTTATTTATTTATTTATTTTTATTAATGTTCTAGCTGCAAATTTTCTTTCCTTTTTAAAAATTTTAAAAATATTTCTATATCAATATTTTTTATTTTGATATTGTGGGGTACAGTTCAGGGTTAGGTATACAAATATGCTTCGTTCAGGCACCCTTGTTGATAAGGGGTGTCTCCCCGTCCCCAGACAGATATTGACTACCATTAATCCCACCTCCCTTCCTCTCCGCCACCATAGTTTCCCACCACTGTCAGTCCTTTTTTTATAGTATTACAATGGATGTTCAAGGTCCACTATATGAGTGAGAACATGTGATACTCAGATCTTTGTTTCTGTGAGGTCATTCAGTATTATTGACTCTAGTTCCATCCAGGTTGCTGCGAAGTTCATGATTTTGTTCTTTTTTATGGCTGCGTAGTATTCCATCCTGTATATGTACCACATTTTTTAATCCAATCCTCTTTTGATGGACAGCATGGTTGATTCCAGGTTCTTGCTATTGTGAACAATGCTGCGATAAACATACGAGTGCAGGTATCTTTTTGATAGAGTGATTTGAGTTCTTCAGGGTATATTCCCAGTAGGGGGATTGTGGGGTCATACGGGAGGTTGATATTTAGAGCTTTTAGGAATCACCACACTGTTTTCCACAGAGGTTGCACCAGTTTGTACTCCCACCAACAATGAAGGAATGTTCCCTTTTCACCACACCCTCTCCAGCAGCTGTTATTTTTTTGAGTTATTGATAATTGCCATTCTGACTGGAGTTAGGTGGTATCTCAGTGTGGTTTTGATTTGCATCTCCCTGATGATTAGTGAGATTGAACATTTTTTCATGTGTCTGTTGGCTGCTCGGATGTCTTCCTTTGAGAAGTGTCTGTTCATATCTTTTGCCCACTTTATAATGGGGTTGTTTACTTTTTTCTTTTCAGCACGTTTGAGTTCCTTGTAGATTGAAGATGTTAAACCTGTCAGACCTGGAGTTGGCAAATACTTTTTCCCAGTCTGTAGGCTGTCTCCCTGCTCTCTTGATGGTTTCTTTGGCTTTGCAGAAGCTTGTCAGTTTAATGAGGTCCCACTTGTCTATCTTATCTCTTACGGCCTGTGGGTTTCGAGTTTTGTTCAGGAATTGGATGCCACTTCCAATTTCCATAAGGGTGTGTCCTGCATTTTCTAAGGTTCTTATGGTTTGAGGTTTTACATTTAGGTCTCTGATCCATTTAGAGTTAATTTTTGTGTATGGGGACAGATAGGGGTCTTGTTTGAGTCTTTTGCTGGTCAGCCAGTTTTCCCAGCACCATTTACTGAATAGGTTCTCCTCTCCCCAGTGGTAGATAGTGGAGGCTTTGTTGAAGACGAGTTGGTTGAGAAATTGAGGTTTAGGTTCTGGAATCTCAATTCTATTCCATTGGTCTATATGCCTGTTTTTGTGCCAATACCAAGCTGCTTTGATTATTGTAGCTTTATAGTAAAGTTTGAAGTCTAGTAATATGATACCGCCTGATTTTTTTTTTTTGCTGAGGATTATTCTGGCTATTCTTGGTCATTTGTGTTTCCATATGAATTCCTGTACTGTTTTTTCTAGGTCTGAGAAGGATGTTGCTGGTAATTTGATGGGTATTGCATTAAATCTGTAGATTGCCTTAGGTTGGATGGACATCTTCACAATGTTGATTCTTCCAATCCATGAACATGGGATATTTTTCCACTTGTTTGTGTCATCTTTGATTTCTTTGAGCAGTGTTTTGTAGTTTTCATTGTAAAGGTCTTTCACGTCTCTAGTTAGGAAGATGCCAAGGTATTTCATTTTTTTTGTGGCTATTGTGAATGGAATTGTGCTTTTTATTTGGGTTTCTGTTTGTTTATTATTGGTGTAAAGAAATGTGATAGTCTTTTGTACATTTATTTTATATCCTGAGATATTGCCAAAGTCCTTTATCAGTGTAAGGAGGTTTTTGACAGATCCTCTTGGGTTTTCAAGGTACACGATCATGTCATCTGCAAAGAGAGATAACTTGACTCCCTATTTTCCTATTTGGATACCCCTGATTGCCTTCTCTTGTCTGATTGCTCTAGCCAGGACTTCCAATACTATATTGAACAGGAGGGGTGAGAGTGGGCATCCTTGTCTGGTTCCAGTTTTTAGGGGAAATGGTTCCAATTTTTGTCCATTTAGGAGTATGCTGGCTGTGGGTTTCTCATAGATGGCTTTTACTATTTTGAGGTATGTTCCCCATACCTAGATGTTCAAGGGTTTTTATCAAGAAGGGGTGGTGGATTTTATCAAAAGCTT